CCATATTAATGATATACTTTAATGGTGACTGTTCACTTTTCTTCCATTGTTTTTGTTTTCATTATTACAGCAAAACTTAGAAACTCCAAAAGTGTTTCAGTCTCTGGGATGTGTCACACATCCAGAAGCTAACCTCAGCAGTGAATTGAGCAACATCTTCTGACACATCTGTTTTGAAATCAGTCATGAATGATATTTTATACTGGTAGCACAGTTTGTTTGAATGTTTTGCTCATTTAGTCAGAGAAAACCACTGAACTGGACGGTCTCTGGAGATATTCATGAACTCACCAACAAGAAACAGCTCATGTCCTTTTTAACCCTCTCAGCTTGTGTCTAAATCCCTAACACACACACACACACACACACACACACACACACACACACACACACACACACACACACACACACACACACACACACACACACACACACACACACACACACACACACACACACACACACACACACACACACTTACACACACACACACACACACACACACCACCATGTCATTTTCCATCCACCTGGAAAGTGTGAGTCACTATAGTGAATGCAGAGGTATGTTTCAGAAATCCTCCCGCTGCTGTCCCGCAGGTCTCATTGCAGAAGCACTTCCCTTCAAATATAATGATTCCTTTTCTGTTGAAGAGTCTTTGTAAATCAAATTGGATTGTCTGAAGCAAACCACCATTGCAGGTAGTCTCAGAAGATTGTCCAAATATTTTATTTTTCCCATTCCAAATTCCTGAAATGAAACATTTCCACATGCAGCACCAGATGCTTGAACAGCTTGCTGTAGAGAGGAAAGGCAAAGTGTAATATGATTCCAACGAAAGATAAAAGAACAAAATGAAATCTGCCAATGGGAATTTATCTGTTATCCTAAGCTGCTGTTGCAGTAATGGTAAAAACATCGTGTTCATCAGTGGAGAACTGCCTTACATCATTATTTGTTTTTTTCTTTACTTGGTAATAAGAGGTTGGACGGTCCCTTAGGCAAAAAAAAAAAAAACAGAAGCACATAAACACCAAACTCTCCTGGGTGAAGTAAGTTTCCAATTCTGTCCAAAAGAAAGATCGAGGTTATAAAACTGAGCCTAATCCATCAGCGGAGGAATTACAGCTCTGTGGGGGATTTGGTTGACTCACATCCAGAAAATGAAAACAATACATGGACAAAATCTCACTCACTCTCCAAGAAGTACAGAAGTAGGTTCCTGCTGTCAGTTGTTTAGAGTCAGGCTTGAATATAGTTACCTCCCACGCTTCCAAATGCTGGCAGAGCTCGGAAATGTTCTGTTCATATAGGCAAGTGTAAACATGTAAGCATTTTTTTTTAGAGAAGGATCTATGGGAAAGTTTTAGTTTTACTTTGCAGGAAACAATCCGAGTTAGTCACACTGTTGAGCTATTTTTGGACCACTGAAGTAATATTGTGGAGAATGTGTTGGTATCATCGAGACTTAAAGGCTCTGTTGTTACGCCGATAGCCTCAGGCTCTGCTGATCTCCCAAAACTGGTCATTTAAAGAGGTCAGTGTCATGTTTCAACGATGTTTGTCAAGGCTCTAACTAGAGAGAAACTCTGTTCTGATTGTATGGGAGCCCAAGTCTTCTCTTCCTGTCGGCTCATGTGTCCCCTGAATGAAAAAAAGTAAATGGGACCATAAAAGTTATTTTCTGGTCAGATTTGCCTAACGCCCTGAATGACCCATATGTTGTATTTCAATTTAAATGGAAAAAAATGTGTGTTTTGACTGTCTATCATGTAATTTAAGATTTATTAGCTCATGAAAATTCGTAATGAAAAAGACGACAAATCAGACATTGCATATATGACATAGCAGAATCTCTTCTGCCCCAGCGTAGCTGTGTAGCGCTAAAGATTGGCTACACATGTGTTAAATGATCAATAAGATGTGATGTTCCATATAAATATGAAATATCAGTTTGACTGGTCTTTGAATGTTTAATCAGAAGACTTTAGTTTATTTTACTTATTTAGGGAACATGTTCACACTTCATATTAATTCCGACAGAGTCGAGTATATAGTTTATAAAAATGAATTTATTTCTATTTACCTAAACTAATGATTATACAAGACAAGGTGTGAATGGAATTATTTAATGTGAGCTAGATGTTTTAGCAAAACCTTTCTTAAGTATCTGAGAGAGATTGTGGTGTCTGGGTTGTAAAATTTATTTGGCTGTATGGCTTGATAAGCTAGAGATATGTTTATAACACCATCTGACGCAATTTGCGCCGAGTCTACTCATCCTTGTGTGGAGATTCTGGTGCGATCCAGGGGGTCAAGAGGTCGGGATGGACACTGCCGGTGGAGTGAACCTCTAGGTACCAGGAACCCGTAGATTAACTCCGATACAACCCGTCCAGTCTAAGAAATGCTCCAGGTGATGACAGGATGGCCAGATTTATAGTGGTTTTCTCCAAGTTTAATGCTACTTTTTTCCTCTTGGAAGCAAGCAAAACTCACAGCCATTTATCTTATTTTCCGTGTTTGGTTTGATAACGTAAATTTGGTGTGAAGATCAGTTGGTGTCCTCTACGTGTTTTCACCAAGTCCCCACAATGCGGGTCAAAAATTGAAGCAAACCTGGAAGTGAAATAAAATACAGTTCCACCCTCATCCGCTGGGGGCTGGTGTCAGAAGCGAGCAAATCCTCATCGACTCCCATGCTAAAAATACCAATTTCACAGTAGAAATAAACATGTTTACAGCCTGGTACCATAACATGTTTTTTGTTTAAATTATCTAGTTTACACTCATGACAACTCTGAGCGGGGCGATTTTTTTTCTCACTCTTCTGTTTAAGTGTATTAAAAGCCTAAAATTCTGTATAATTAATGAGCATCCGACCCACGTGACCACAGAGCTAGCTCCGTGGAAAGGCCTCAGTAGAGCCTCGGCCTGGCCTGGAAACTGTTCGGTCATTTTCAGTCTCTCAACTTAGACCATTAGTTGTAGCGTTTGTGTATTCTTTTTTGGATATTTTTTGTGCAATTGTTGGACAAAATGACTTGCTGTGACATTAATTGCACTAATAGAGCATCCAAGGAGTCTCCACTTCATTTTTTTCGGTAAGTAAAATTATATTCATGTATTTTAGGTCACTGCCGAGCTGAGTTTAGATTTTAACATGTACTGTTTAACCATGAAATTTAAATGTAATAGGGTAAAACCCAGTGCATTTAACATATTGCTGCACTTTAGAAAATGGGTTGAAATATAACATGTTGGTGGAGCTGGGTTCCGACTATCGGCTTGTGGAGCTCTCGGGAGACCGATGTTTTCCACCCGTTTCTCCCCTCCCCGCAGCTCGGCGCATCTCTGTCTGATCGCGGCTTCTGTCTGTTGCGCGAGCTGCCGGCTTGTGGAGCTCTGGGATGGAAACCTTTCCACCTGGTTCTCCCCAGCGGCAGCTCTGCGCATCTCAGATCGCAGCGGCGCTTGTCTGCTGTGCGGCTGCCGGCTTGTGGAGCTCTCGGAGACCTCTGTGTTCCACCCGGTTTTACCCAGCGGTCAGCCCGGCGTATCTCTGACTCAGAAGCTCTGGTGTTGTGCACAGTTAACTCCGGTTGTAGCTAGGTTGCTACCTCCGTTAGCTTAGCTCCCACCTCCGCGTTAGCTTTGGGTTAGCTTCAGGTTAGCTTGTAGCTAGTTCGACCGGGTGTCGTCAGTTGATCCCAGCCTTACAGCCCCACCCTCAGCTCCACCTCTCTTCCCTTTTATGGAATTATCTGGGCTTGACGGAACCTGTGACACGGTCAAAATGGCGGTGGTGGCCACCTCCCATTTTTCTTCAAAAACATGTTATTGGAGTCTATGGAAACCCATTGTCCAATATTTATATGTCAATGGTTTTCACGCAAAGCCCCGAGGATCTTTTTCCGCTTGTCGGAAATAAGCAGCAACAGCTGTCTTTAAAATTCCAACATCATATGTTTGCACATATCAAACAGGATCAGAAAATAACATTTATCAGTCCAGACTCCCTTTCCTTTTAAGGCAGCAAGGGACCCATGGACCAGAATTAGATGGGCGTAACTTTTAAGACTAGTCTACTTTTGCATGGAGACACACAACAACAATATCCGTCCTCGCAAGAGCTCTCCAACAGGCTCGCAAAGACGAATAGAGTTGAGCCCACATTTCTAACTGTCTGTCGAACGCAACAGAGACTGCAAGCCTGTGACTGGTCAGGACGCTGCTTCCTTTAACTTCTTCAACAGCACCGCCATTCTGGCTCAAAAAAATTAAACGAGAACTGAGCATATCTAGTGACGGACACGTAGCAGATTGAAGAATGTCTCATGGAAAAAAGTCCAACGTAAATACACCCGTGACTGACGGAGTACAAAGATATGTATCAAACTTCTTATTCGCATCAGGATATAATGGGAAACATGAGTTTGTAGGTGGTGGCTGGATGGAGAGGAGATATTTGTCTGTGTTAAAACATCTCTGAAAGACATAAACACAATATAAACACACTAGAGACATGACTCCATTGATATCCCAGAAAAGCACTACTCCCTCTGCTGTTTTGGTGGAGAATTGCTTTACAACACTGACACACCAAAGAAGAACAAAAGGATAAAAGGAAAACATCTCCATCAAAGCGTGTGCTGACGCAGAAGTTTAAACTTGCCTTTAGGCTCCTCATAGTCTCATGATGCACTCTTGGGGTGGGCAGTTGACCCCTTTGCCCTTACCACTGTAGATCCACCCCTGCACCTTGTATGAGGAACATCATTCTAGAGCCTTTATGCATAATAAACTTGGAATTTTCTTCCTCCTTTACTAACTTTATAGGGATACTAAGGAAAGTAGGAGGTGGAGGTGGCACTTGTACATGATTGGCTCGCGCATTTGTGTGCTACTGGGTCCCCATTCACACACAATTTCTCTCTCTCTCTCTCTCTCTCTCTCTCTCTCTCTCACACACACACACACACACACACACGCGCGCGCGCTTATACGAGCAGACAGGCAGGCTGACTTAAGGGAAAAAGCAGCAGCAGCAGCAGGGGGGAACAAACTCTTCCCCCGCCGCTTAGGAACCAAAAGCGACCACAGACGTAAAGACGACGCGATGTCAGGCACGTAATGCTACTGTTTAGTCCGAGGAGACAGCTACCAGTTAGGAAGAGGCTGCGGAGAGGCGCGGGTGAGGACTGACAGCTGGAGAAATAAGGATTTAAGGACCGCACGTGGAAAAAGGCTCGCGCCAAACAAATCGGTGAGTGTGGGAGATCCCTAGTGTGGGAGTGTTAAAGAACGGAACGGACAAACACTTTGACCAAGAAAACTTTATGAGGTGTTTTAAACCTCCACACAGCTCTTTCAGAGTTTGTGACAGACGAACAGAATGCGTCAACAACATTTTTTGGCCACTTTGCGGCGGAATCTGCGGCCGCTTAATCCTTGATGAAAGCGCGCATGACTGCGCTGTTGTCATGAAGGAGCCAGGCGTTTTAATGAGTGTTTAATAAATCCTATTATTTTCAAACATCTGATGCTCCCCATTTAAGAAAAACGTGATCAGAATCACTGAATTTATAAAGGTGAGCAGCACATCTTTTTTGTTTTGGTGCTAAAATAAAAGTTCAAATAATCCGATGTTAGAGAGGAAAGAGTTGGAGCCTGTCAGAATAAATGACTAGAGTACAAAGATTCCTATGAAATTCCTGTGAGCAAAGAGAAATCTGGGTGTTGTCCAACTGGAATATCTGTGGTGCACCTCTGTCATCAGTCCAAATGGACTAAAATCAAATTATTAAAATACTATCGATAAATAAGATCTTAAATGTTCTTAATTGGAAGCTACTGGATAGAATGTTATATTACTGCACCTAATTTAAATGTATTTTGGTAGAAAATGACATATATTCCATCATAAATGTTGGGATGTGAAACAGAAATCCGTGTGCCGCTTAATCTTTTCTTACAAAGAAACTAAGATCTGTTTTATAAGATGTTGCAACCCACATATGTTCTTGTGACTGGTGCAGAACGGCCCAATCACACATTCAAACATAATTTCTGTCTAAAATAAAAAGATTTTTTGAAAAAAATGTGAAATAAGGCATTTTTAATGTATCTACCTCACACCTTTTAATCACCAGTGAAAATTTGTCACAAAAATCCCAGCACGTCTCCCTGATTGTGACACACTGGTAACAGGAGGCTCTCCAAAGGTGTCCCATCTTACCCACTTAAATTAAAATATTGCATATTTTTATCCTGAAGTTGAGATTTTAATTTGCTCTGGCAATCGGTGACAGATAAGCTACAGCCTCCCTATCGTCCACCTATGGTCAGCATGAAGTTGAGCTGGCTCCCTCCCTGTGTGTCCATGACCTCGCTTACTAAGACAAAACATTTCCTTGAGGGCAGACATAAAGAAATGTTTTGTTTTAGGTCACATGCAGTGAAAAAAGCTCCCTGTTGGTGTTCCTGACAAATTGACACTAATATTCCTTGAGTAAGCTAAATCTCTGAGGCTGGAATCACTTCACAGAAATGATGCTATGTAATACCTTTTTGTGATTTGCTTCAAATCAGAAACATGAATACAAATGGCTGATTTATCTTCTGGTTTATCGCAATGTTTTGATCTCTTTTTGCTCTAAATACATAATCCATACAAAGTATTTTGGTTGTGTACACTGGCATAGATTTGTTGCATTTGCTTAATGCACACCCAGAGTTGTATCATTAATGCATCATGCTGTGGCCTCGGCGTAGTACAGAATCATTGTGGTAATGATCCCTACACTAGTGGAGAAATTGGATGGTGAGTGCATTTTCAATTGCTTTTCTGCCTAGTTCCTTTTGGATGTTTTACTGCTATAAGGGGGTGGCCTATAAAGTAAGAACTCATTTGGAGGCTTGACATGTCATTCATTGATTTACAGCTGGTCCATGCCTTCATGGCACTTTATAACCTTCATCGTCAGCTACGTTACCCTGAGAAATGAAGCTTTTACTTTTCGAGAATAAAGACCAAGTGGTCTTTTTATTGGCACACCTTTTAAATGCTTGTGAGCACAAATTGCTAATAAGCCAATTGCACGGCGGTAACTCAATGATTTAGACGTAGTGAGGACGACTTGCTGAGACTCAAACTGGGTATCAAGATGTAGATAAAAGTGACATTGTTGTTGGGACCGGATTGGGTGCTTCAGAAACTGCTGATCTACTGGGATATTCACCCACAACCATCTCCAGGGTTTACAGAGAAAGGGCTGAAAAAGAGAAAATATCTAGTAAGTAGCAGCTGAGTGGATGAAAATCTCTTTTTGATGTCAGAGGAGAATGAGCAGACAAGCAGTTTGGGATGATGGAAAGGCAACACCACCCATTACTACCAAAGTCTACAGAATACCATCCCTGAGCTCACAGTATGCTGAACATTGAAGCATAAGAGCTGCAGAAGACTAGCCTAGTGAGCTAGACTAAGTTCTTGCTTTGGTCTAGGAACGCTTCATTGGAACCTCTGCAGCCCCTAACAGCATTCTGGCTGGCCAATCACAGCTCTCAATAGGGGTTTCAAACTGATAGAGCGCTTTGAGTGGACCAATCACAGTGCTCTATCGGGCCAATCAGGGCTCTCTATTTGTGTGGTGGGCGGGATGATGTGACTGAGTGGAACAAGATGGCGACAGCTCATTTGAAACAACTTTGACATGAATTTTGGACTATTTGGACTTGGTCTTTATTAGAATCAGCAGCAGATAGATGTATTTAAGTCCTTTATTTAGAAAAAGGATGTATTTTCACCTTCTTCAACAGCAGACTGACTTGTTTACCGACATCCATTGCGGTGAGTGCGTCACGTTACTCATTGTCCAGTAACATGCAGTGATCATTTGAAAGACAACGGTAGAACCCGCCCCATGACGAGAACCCTCAATGGAGCATTGCCAGGCTAACAGAAGACCACATTGTGTGTGTCAGTCTTGTCAGCAAAGAAGAGAAAACAGAAGCTACAGGATCAGCAGAAATTCACAATAAGACACCCGTAAAGTTTCCTGGTGAAGATTCAAGCTGCACCCTTCAGATGGGTCAGAATTTGGTGTCAACAATATGAAAGCATGAATCCATTCCACAGCCTACCTGAGTATTGTTACTGATGTTCATCCCTTTATGACCACATTGGACACATCTTCTGATGGCGACTTCCTGCAGGATACTACGGAAAAGCTCAAATCATAACTAGTTTCTTGAACATAACTTCTGATGTATGTTTCTAACATCTTGATGAATGTTTGACTTGAAAAATGTAGTTACCGTAATAGATAAGCTGACCAGTGAGTGTGTCACTTTATTGGAACACAATTTTCTCTTAAAGGAGTCATATTATGACATTTTTGAAAAGTTATAGCCCAATGGTTGATAGAAAATGTGAGCAGAATCCATCTCACATAAAGTCTGTGAAGGTTCTCAGTCATCCAGGTCATTGTAGTCTAATGAGCTTTGAAAGAAAAGCGTCTGGACTTCTTCGAGTTGCTTGAAGATGTTTCTACCCTCTCCAATCTTAGAAGAGGTTTACAAGTTTGTGGAGAAGGCTCAGCGGGCCCAACACTCCAAAGAAAAAGAAAGACAATGCAGGAAATTCCACACCCTGCTTTCAAAAACACTCACTCCTCAGTCTGAATCTACACAACGCAGAGAAGAACTTACACCGGAGGACAGTCGAAGAAAATGGGTGAAGAACTTTTCAGACCGGAACCTCACTGAACCTGAAATGAACGTATTAGCCAAAGGACTCAATTTTGCCATTGCTCCGCAACAGTTACCCATAGTGGACCTCATCACAGCCACTGAAACTGCCATATGGATCAACAGATTATCTCAGACAGAAGCAGAACAGATCAGGATGAAAGTCTCAGCCACCCTCTCCAGTGCCAAAGTCCCTCTGTCTAACCTCACGTTAAAAGAAAAGAAGGCAGACGCATCACTGAGCAAAGACCACACCATCACTATATTGCCAGCTGATAAGGGAAGGTGCACCGTGGTCCTAAAGACAACGGATTACCACGCAAAGATCACTACTCTCCTCAGCGACAACAACACCCATGAAGCCTTAAAGCGAGACCTCACAAGCAGCTACAAAAAGAAAGTTATAGCTTGCCTTCAAGGCCTTGAAAGGGACAAAACCATCAACCGCCTGACATATCACCGCCTTTATCCAGGAGATGCCATACCCTGCATCTACGGACTTCCCAAGATCCACAAGGAAGGTATCCCTCTCAGACCCATTGTCAGTAGCATAAATTCAGTCACCTACAACATCACGAAACACCTTGCTACTACCCCACCTTCCCCACCAGAGGTGGCTACCTTGCCACCTCTGGTGGGGAACACCCCACACCACATCAAGAACTCCACCGACTTCACTTACAAGGTCCAGAAACTTACCCTGGATCCAAATGAATCCATGGTGTCCTTTGACGTAGTCTCCCTCTTCACTTGCATACCCACTACGGAGGCAGTGGAGACTGTCAGAAAACGACTACAAAGAAGACAGAACCTTGGAGGACAGGACCAACTTCACACCTGATCAGATTTGCACACTGTTAGACCTCTGCCTCACCACTACATATTTCAAATACAACGAAGGTTTCTACAGACAAAAACATGGCTGCGCCATGGGCTCCCCCGTGTCACCTATTGTAGCCAACCTTTACATGGAGGAAGTGGAAAGAAAGGCTCTTGGCTCTTTTAAAGGGAGATCACCCAGCCACTGGTACAGATATGTGGATGACACCTGGGTCAAAATCAAAACACAAGAAGTGGAATCCTTCACTACGCACATCAATGCCGTGGACAAAAACATCAAGTTCACCAGGGAAAACATAAAGGACAACTGCTTGCCTTTCCTGGACTGCGCTGTGCACCTTGAAGAAAATGGCAACCTCAACATTGAAGTGTACCGGAAGCCCACACACATGGACCAGTACCTCCTCTTCGACTCACATCACCCTCTGGAACACAAACTTGGAGTAATCAAGACCTTACACCACCGGCAGAACGTTCCCTCTAAGCCGGAAGGGAAAAAGAAGGAACACACACATATAAAGGAATCACTTAAAACATGTGGCTATCCTAATTGGGCGTTTATAAAGTCAGCAAAGATGCACAGAAAAGAAGACCAGACACCAGTGAGGGAGGATAAGAAAGACAGACGCAACAACCTTGTCATCCCCTATGTAGCCGGTGTATCAGAGAAACTCA